TAAAGATTTAGAATTAGAGATTCAACCTTATTTTATCTTTCATAAATTTTTTTCTAGTCAACAGATGGAAACTATTAAAGATAATACAAATATATATGCTTATGTACATAGTGTAAAAGAAGGAAAAAGTAATTTAGCAGGCGAAAGTCATAATTGGACTAAATTAAATACTCAAGAGCTTAAAATATGGTTAGCATTAGTAATATATATAGGTATATTCAAATTTCTGGCAATTGAAAATTATTGGAAAAAGGATATATATTATCCATCACACAAAATAACCAAGTTAATGACTTTATTTAGAATTCAACAGATAAGTTATTTTTTTTTAATAGTATTGATTTAATTTTAGTAATTTTAACTAAATTAAAATTTACATCAAGCGATATTTATATATTTCAGATTGTATTACAAAATCACTAGATATGTTTATGAAACTTGAACCTCTTGCATCACATATTCATATCATATTAAAATAACTCTACATTCCTGCCTCTAATATATCTATTGATGAAATGATCACTAGATTTTTTGAGCAAAGTGATCATACATAATGCTTCAAATGGTTCAGTTCAGTCCAGATTATAGGCCAATCTGAAACTGAACTGAAAATTTCAGTTTGTTTTAGTTCAGATTATAAATCTTAAAAATGCTAATCCAAAACTGAACTGAACCGTAAACTGGTAAAATCTGAACCAAACTAAAAATTTTCAGATAAAATTTTTTGCAATCTGAAACTGAACTGAAGTTAATCTGAACTGAAAATTTTTGGATTAATCTGAACTGTTCAGAGCTTTACATTAGAGCCTTTTCTTTACTACTATTATTTAAAAGCATATTAATTAATAAATTATATGATTCAAGATTTGTAATTTGAAAATTTGTAATAGTTTCTTATTGTAATCTTGAATTTGTTGCACAAGAATAAGTTTCTTTTTCAATGTCAATATTTTTGAATGTTTTAGGCTATAAATATAGATTATTTAAAAGTTCACAAGTATTACAATCAACTCTCTGTAATACTTGATTCATTTAACTTTCATTTATCTTCAGATACTGGTTGGAATAAGATTTCTTTTACTTCTTTATTAGTATATGCTTCTTTAAAATTGTTACAATTTGTCAAATAAGTATAGCATAAATTAGTCTTATTAGTTATATAACATCTAGGTATTAACGCTGCTACTTGAACTCCTCTATTATTTGAATTACAAAAAATGCATACTGCTTTTGCATTAAATTTATTATTAGAATTAGGAACTAAACTAAAAAATTTTCGAAACTTATGCAATATTAACATTTTTTTAAAATTTAATTTGCAATAGAAAATTAATGATTATCATAAAATCATAATGATTATTGAAAATCTTATTACTTTAAATTTCACTTGGTTAATTTTAATTGGTTAATTAGAAATTATATGATAAAATGACAAATGATTTAAGGTCATATCATATGACTAATGATCATGTAAGTCATATGATATGTGATATATTTATATGACAAATAATAAAATAACATTGATCATATGACTGAATAACATAAAGTCATATTCTAAAGTCAAATGATCAGGTCATATACCAACACTGGGTAATCATGTGTTCTCCTTTTTTTCAGTCATCCATTCACAAATTGACCAAATTTGTTTACAGTTAGCCACATAAGAAATAATAGAAAATAATTTTTTGCAAGCAATTATATGTAAGGTGAAGTAGGTTTACACATTTTTTATCAGCTAAGAGGAGTATTTACTTAAGAATCATATGGTAATTTGTATAGTTTCACTTAAAGATAAAATTTACCAATTTGTGCTAAAAGAGTTTTTGCAGACTGTTTTTTTGAATAGTTATATTCTTTAAGGTAAGTAGCAATATTAGAAATTTTTAACATTTGTTACCAAACATGTGTATAGCTACACTTTGAATTCTTTAATAATGTACTTTTTTACACCAATACCTATTTATTAATAAAGTTAATAATTTAAAAAGTTTGTATTATTATATCAAATAAATTTAAATATCAAATTTCATATTTTTATATTTAGGATGAATATAATATGTTAAGAGATATTCATCAAAATCATACAATGTAAAATATTTATTAAAATTTTTATTACATACTGACAAAATATTATATGAATATCTTCAGGTATTTTATTAATTGATTGACTAAGATATGCTAAAGAGAAATAACAATCAGTCAGAGTTGCTTTATAACTTTCAAGAGTAAGAATACAGTCACATTTTGATATAACGAAATTGCTAATCCAGCTGATTAGACCTTCATTATAAGAATCTTCATTAATCCTATAACAAATTATTTAATATGTATAATGAATAATTTATTTAAAAATTAAAAATAAAATAAAAATAAAATGAAATGAAAAATGAAAATATAAAATGAAATTAAATAAACAAGATAAAATAAAAAAATGAAATTAAATAAATAAAAAGAAACTATAAAATAAAATTAGAAAAATGAGACAAAAACAAAAATATAAAATTAGAAAAATGAAACAAAATAAAAAAATAAATTAGATGAATAAAATAAAAAGAAAATATAAAATTAAATAAATGAAATTAAAAAGAAAAAATAAAAATTAAATGAAATGAAAAATTTTTTTAATAATTATTGCCTTGCAAGCATATTATGATTTTATTATGTATTTTAGTTTTGCCTCACAGACACATCATGATTTTGCCTTATATTTCATATTTGCCTCATAATAGATAAATTACAATTTTTTTTTCAAGTGTATCTTAATTTTAAAAAAGTAAATATATTTAATATAAATCTAAAAAATCATTTAAATATTTTTAATTATTATTTAGCCTATCCTAGAATCGAATCCTAAAGAGATTGTATAATCTTTTTGTTATATAGATCTACCTCTCATTTCTCTTGCTCTATTTTGATAATCACAAAAGTCTTAAAAGATATTAATTATACTGTTAAGTTATATTTATCATTATATTGTTATTTATTTATTTACTTATATTATAATCATGTACTAAATTCCTTTATTTTAATTCATATTTGCAAGTTGAATATATTATATTATATCTTCAATTGATTCATCAAGTTACACTCCTCTAGAATCCTATTTTATTTTCTCTATATCTAATATGATACTCTTCATTTCCCTTTTTATTTTCTTGACTAATAAATTCATTTTGTTATCTTCTCAAATTATTCTTATGATCATTTACGTTTAACTTAAAAAAGATTTAAAGAAGTAAATTAAGTGATGTAAAAGTGGATTTACAGTGGCGATCAAAAATAACGCATCACTGGAATAAAAATCGAAAACTATTAATATCACGTGATCTATCGATG